GTTAGCTTCATCCTTTGCCAATCGGTGTCGCCCTTTTTTCGTCGTTCCCGCGGAAGAACAGTGGATGTGCTGGACCGAGGCCGCCCGTCTACTTTCCCGTGGAAGCCGAGGCGAACCTTGTGGTCGTTTCGTGAGGAACGGTGATGTAAGAGGCCCACGTGATTGGCCCAATGAGCCAGAGAAGCTAGTAGTAACAAGTGCCACGCTAGTAGTAACAAGTGCCTTACTAGTAGTAACAAGAAGCTATTATGTTTAAATTTGAATATAATTCTAATAGCACGGTCCAGGTGTCTTGTGAGCCAGGTCTCGAAGGACGCCAAGCAAGCTGGCAAGTTGACTGATCTGATTCGGCAGGAGCACGTCGCAACGTTGCTGCGCGTTGGCAGCGATGGTTCGATCACCGAAACAAAAGAAACAGGTTCGAGTCCGGCATGCAGAGAGTCTGCAGGATCTGGGTGATGGGGATAACGCAACTTGTCCAGAATTATGCAGTAGATGAAGATGGTCTGCCAGATGGTCTGCCAGATTCGATTTCGATTTGTATTCCTCCAAGCTCCGTTGGTTGCTTGTGATCATCTAAGTGAGGCCACAGATCAGCAAAAGGCTGGGATGCTAGGGAGTATGCTTGGCATGCGGGGTGTGGGTGTGGGCTGGAAGACATCCTATATAAAGTGTTGCAGTGGTCACAGAATCGGAGCAGTGCTGTCCTACTCACATAATGGTCCCGCAATAGATAGATAGAATAGAAACGGTGTCCAACACATTTTTCGTGGGGATCTACGAACTTCTATCTATTTGGGGTCCATATCTATATAAATAGTCATAGTAATAGTGAGTCTCTGTAGACTACGCTTGTCCACCGGTTTGAGCACCAACACCGGATCGATCGGTTGTCGGCGGCTGGTCAAAAACGACGATTCCGGGACCTTGGATCGTCCAGTTTTTGGGGGGTCGGGGGGTTGGTGGTTTATCCTGCTTGGTCGATAAACCAAAAGGATTTATCTGAATGGGCTTGGTCGATAAACCAAGAGGACTTGGTCAGATATCTAAATTTGGAAAGGAAGGTTGACCCCTTGGTCCAGTTTCCTTGGGTTGGTCTTTACCAAGCCAAAGGCTTGTCCCTTCCGAAAAGCGTTTCTGTTGGTTTTCATCTTTTGTCATTTGGGTGGTTTTAATCTCAATGGACCTTCCTCAGGCACCCTTCCCTCTAGTCTCATCACAGGTGACCGCCTTGCTTTGCAAACTGGGCTGCGAGACTGCTGAGGTGGAGGCGTGTGACCTGCGGTGGGCCGAGTAGGTCGGCTCCTGGGGGTAGCAGGCCACAGCCCACGAGAGAACGTGGTGGCTGGTTCCAGGTTTGGCAAGGTTTGGGTCATCCTCCGAGACTCCATCTCCTATTTTTTTCCTTATTTGATTTTTTGTTCCTTGGTGATTTTGTTCCTTATCTGTCCGACCAGGCATTGATGAGAAGCTACACCGAGGACGAGCTACACGGGGGTGTGCGTCGACCTGGGAGCTGCGTGGCCGCGGGAGCATGGCCTGTAGATTTTACTGTAAACGATTTCGAGAGAAACAATCTATGGCCGTGAAGAACTTTTTGGGATCGAAAGAGTCCCACCATGGGAGAAGATGGGAGAAGCCAGCCAGGAAACCTACACCAGAGTCAGGAAGCCGTGAGTCCGGAAACCAGGTTGTCTGAGTCAGGAAACCTTTTTGTCCGAGTCAGGAAACCTAGAAACCACTTCACAGTTCAACAACAAAAAGAACAAGAGCAAGCAGGATAACGGATAACGATGGATGAAACAAAGAAGAAGGAGGAGGAGGAGGAGGAGGGGGAAGATGAGAATGAGACAAGGAGGAGAAGGAGGAGAAGGAGGGCTTCACTTCTTAGGTGTTTTTTAGAGCTTAGCTTAGGGCTTTATTAGGTCTTCACTTCCTTAGGGCTTCTTTGGGCTTGGTTCAGGTCTTCACTTATTTTTGCTTTCTTTGGGGTTCCTTTGGGCTTGGTTTAGGGCTTCACTTCTTTAGTATTTCTTTGGGCTTGGCTCATATAGGCCTTCACATCTTTCGGATTTCTTTTGGATTGGTCTAGGTCTTCACATCTCTCAGAACTGGTGTTGACTGGCACGCATGTTTGCTCCCTGACCGCTCCTAAGTATTGCGACATATGCTACACCACAGCTCATACCTCCGATCAACCCAAGACTGCTCAGCAAGCTACGGATATGCGCGCGGCATAAGCTCCGCCATACTAACCATTCAACCATTCAACTATTCATTCATTCATTCATTCATTTCGTTTCATCTCATCTCATCTCATCTCATCTCATTTCATTTCCTTTCATTTGCATTTGCATTTTCATTTCCATTTTCCATTTCCCATTTCCATGTCATTTTATTTCATTTCATTTCTTTCGTGCATTCATTCACTCATTCATTGACTCGCACTCTTTCCTTCCCGTTCTCAAGTCCATCCATGTCCATCCCAGACCCAGCCAAGCCCCGATTTCTTCTCGAAGGCTTCCACCAAAAATCAAATTGACCCTGTTCAAGGGGCAGGGTTGATCTGCGCAGTATGTGCAGTCTCTAAGAGCGTCTTCAAAATGCCAGCTTTCTCAGTTATCAATGACGCACGGTTAGGGCATTGGTTCAAGTGGCCATCAAAAACTTACCCAAGCTTCTTCATGAGCTTGGCAGCATCGCTCAGCAGCTGGTAGAGCTGGTTCCTTCTCCTCCGTTTCTTCCCTTCGCTGCCCTTCTCCCCCGACTCATAGTTTCAAATTCTACAAATTTCCAGCTACTGCATACCCCCCTGTCCGAGGACAGCTCTCGCCTCAGATGCTCTCCTAGGTTTCTTGACTGCCATTCCAGTTCCTGACTACTGGGCTTCTGACTCTGTCCAAATGGTTTCCTGACTCGGTTTCCTGACTCTGTCATCATCCGTCACCATCTCCGTACCCCAAGCTTTTCTTGAAGTCTGTATTCTTGACCGCAGGGCGCAATCCAGTATAGAGCAGTCATGGGATTTAGACATTTTGCTAAACTTTGGAAAGGGAATGAAAGGAATAAAGCCCCTTGCAACTGCGACAGCTGTAGTCTTGGGGCATGTTCGGAGAAGCGATGAGCCAGCGCTCTTGATTAACAAAGCCTCTCCTTTTTGGGGCTTTGGGGTTTTCGCTTGTCGAAGTGGTGGAAGCCACCGACAAAAAAGTCTCATTGCAGCGTGAGCGTGAGAGGTAGAAGAGGTTTTCATGGCTTTTCAGTCCAAATGGAGGTGCGAGTATCCTGGTGCCATGACTCACATATGCGCATATATATATATATATATCGAAAACCAGCCGATAGATGAGGCTAAGTTGTCGATGGGCGAATGGAGTGAGTATAGGGGTGTGGCGGGGGGTGGTCACACAGCCAGCCCGGCCGGGTAGGGTGAACCCAGAGCCTGGTGAGGGAGAGCGAAAAATAAGAGGCGGTCCGGAAAGCAGTGAAAATGGAGTCTGGTGATGCGAGCGATGCACTTGACGCCGAAGAGTGCATCATTAGCGTCAATCGCTCGACTCCGACTTGAGTATAAGGGGTCCTGCAGAAACTCCAGGCTTGGCCTTTGGCAAGCATTTTGCCTTCCCATGCATGTCTGCTTCAGGAGGCTGGCTTTCGTCCCTCCTTTCTCAGGTATATGTATTTACAATATTATGAAATACTCATATTGTTTGTTGAACTGGCCTCTGTGAACCACTCCACTCTGGTCAGGGGCTCCTCCCCCCAAGCTGCAGGACAGCTCAAAAGCCTTCAGCCTCGCAGGCTTCATGGTTTCCTGGCATCCAACGACAGCAGGGGGTGGTTTGGTCGAACGGTGGTGCCGTTTGTGTGTTACAACTCCCCAAAATATAAGTTCTGGCGGCTACTTGCGCCATTACAAGCGCGAATTGTTCCACAGATGACAGAGTGGCCTGCGCCACTCGGGTGATCCCTTCTGTTCACACCCCGTCACCAGTGCCATGTGTGGGGTGATCGCCTCCCATGGCCGCTCGTTCCGCCCAGGCTTGGATGTGGAACGTGTAGCTTCCGGGTAGAAAGCCGATCCGCTCGTTCCGACCATCCCGGGAGCCGATGCAGAGGAGTGAGCCGCGTTGTGCGAACAACACGAGCGAACGCCGTGCGCCAAGCGTGCGCCAAGCGTGCGGAGTCAACTGCTCGGAGCGGCCTGGCTGAACAGGAATGGAATGTTCAGAGCCGAGGAAGAAATGCCATTTGGAGGATCATGGACATTCGTGGCCAGGACGGTTGGCCAGGCCGCCCGAAAGCGGGCCTTGCTGTTCACCAAGTGACAGCGATGCGAGACATCTTGAGATGAAAAAGGGATGCGCGCCACTTTTGGGTCTTGGCTGAGTGAAGAGGCCCGAGTTGAAGGCAGAAGTCGAAATATCCCGACCCAAGGAGCACGTGCAGTCTTCTAGTTCTGCTCTTGTAGTCGAAGTGGAAACAAGAAGACGAAGAGCACATTTAAGGGAGGGTCATGGAGGATTCATACCTGACTTTATACAAGCAACACGTTCGATTCTATAATGGATATGTTCTTTTGCACATTCGTAGGTCGTAGGTTGAATGTTGGATTGCTGGAGTGATCCGAGGGGGGGGCGATGGGAGACAGCGCATCCTTCAAGGACAAGTTGTCCTCTACACTTGGCTTCTCAGTAGAAACATGTATAAAGTCAGAGTGCCTCGAAACCATTCGAACCCGCTTGTTTTTAGAACGGACACTTTTGAGACATCTGGAAATCCACAGGGTTGTTTGTCATCCACAATTCTGTAAAACAATGTTTGTCTTTTTTTCTTAGGGTGTACGGTGTTTCGGCCTAGAGTCTAGAGAATGGTTTTTGGATGGTTTGACCACTTCCAGTGTTTGGAGGTGGGGGAGACATACTATAGCACACACATACATACTATAGCTTCGTTGTGAATAGATCTGAGTGTCGCAACATCACCCAGTGGCGCGCCAGGTCCGTGGCGTCGATTTTGAGCCGAATACGTTCCCGGTGCGTTGCCCAGTAAAAGGTGGAGTGCGGAAAGAGGAGGATCGTGCGCAGGTTTGGGAAAGCAGGTGGGCAGAGTCCTGATGTGGGGGGACTGGAGAACATTTCGGGGCACTCTCGGGACATGAAGGGTTTCGGGGATTTGGACCCTGATGAGAACCATGGATATCTTGGCTCTGGCGACTTTTGCAATTGCTGTATCCTTTGCTGTATGATTGGCCCTTTTCCGGGAGCCTTTTCCAGCTAGTTTAGTTTCTGGCTAACTGGCCAGGAGTTTCTGGATTTTGCAGACTTGAACCCAAGTGGGCAGTGAAATAGTGAACGTATGTGAACGTTGCGACTTGCATGTTCTCGTCATCGACATTGACGCTCAGTTTGTCCGACCGCTCGAGACTGCGGAGCGAGCTGCGTCGAGACTGCGTCGAGACCGTCGAGCGAATTGGGAGAGCTGAAACCGGAATTGAGACATTTGGTTCCCACAAAAGCAATTGCATTTGCGCGATCTCAAGAGCGATGAATGCTTGGAGACCCACACAAGTGGTGTCAAATTTGTGATTCGTCCTGGTCGTGTCACTTTAATGCTTTTTCAAACCTGCCTGGGATTTGAAAGGCATCCCAGACAGATCAAGAATGATCCCCCTTTCGTGAGGCATCCCAACCTTTGCAAGAGAGGTTGGGTTGATACGCTGGCCACCTGGGCCCAGGTAGGTGGCCAGCACATCGGGCGCCCACTCGGATTTGGTGCGTGGGGAATGTTCCACGCGCCAAAATCGGGGGTCTTTGAAGTCACAAAAAAGAATGGCCAATGGGGGTCTTGGAGCCCAAACAGCTAGACGTTAGAACCGAGGGAACCCACGCTTTTAGGATTTGCCATGGAATTTGTCGCCTCGAGGTGTCAAGAAACAGTGAGTACTGGAAGAGCACGAGTGGCACGATTGATCGCTCAGGCGAGTCGCGGGGTTTGGGTTTCAGAGCTGCGACATTCGAGCAGCCAAGTCCTGCGACCCCAAAAAGCTTCATTTCATCTCATTCAGTCCCTGACCAGGAACCTCCATGTCCATGATTTTTTCCATGATGAGAGATCCACATCTGAAAATCGATCTTCCGTTTTGGGAGCGAAGCCTCCCAGCTTTCAAAGTCCAATCATGTGAGTCATGGCAGCCTCTACTGGCGATGTTTTTGGGCGTTGGTTGTCTCGGGCGCACAGTATTGCGGGGGTGCTCACCGTTTCACCCGGAGATTTGCCAGCAGAGATATGTGGCAGATCGATTGCACAGCTTGATACGTGGCAACAGAACTCTTCCGACAGCTGAACTCGATGAATTTTCGGTGATTCCTTCTTCTCAATGGACATTCTGCATGACCGACATGGCGTAACGATGGCCGACCCGTTCTGCTGGTCCCAGCTGCTCGACCCGATGGAGCGCTCGGAGCGCTGGGGAACAGCCCGTTCTGCTCGTCCGATGTCGACCGGTCGATGTCTCGTCAGGTGGCCAGATTGGAAGCGGGACAAGAGGACTTGTCAGTTGGAAAAAAGGGGACAGGTGCCTGGATTTGTTTGGCCAGGCGGCCAGGCCACAAGATGTGGCAGAAAAAGACTGCGAACAGTGAAATGTGCGGACGGTCCAATCAATTCTGAAGATATGAAAAGATGTCTATTCACAATGAGATGATTTATTGAGATGTCTATCCACAGGAAGATGCCTGTCTTACACGAGTGAGATGTTTGTTTCAGCCTTGAAGAGTCAGTGAACCCTCCCCGTCTCTACATAGCTTGGCTTTGTTGCTCTTTTCAGGACGAATGTGCAGTCACAGGTAACTTCGGACGAACCCTGAAGCCCTTTGCCCGGAGTCGTGCCGTTGGGGGAAAGGAAACAGGTCAGACAAGTGGGGGGTTGACGGATGCGCATCATGTCTCTACCTGTTTATGAAGTAAAGCATTTGGTATCGATTTCACTTTGAAGCAGATGTAGAATGTGCGACAAGAGCCTTTGGGAAGATGGTTTCATGTTCTTGTAGTGGTAGCTGCGGAAGGTACATGTCAGTGTCACTTTCTGCAACTTGAACTGAGCAGGAGTCTGCATACACGCACAATCATCCACGCACAATCATACACGCATGCCGAGAGCTAGAGAGCTAGAGTGTAGGAAGTGCCTGTAAGTTGCCAAGGCAGACATTACTTTCAAAACAACACCTTGGTTTAAGGTCTGCGCCGTCGACTAAATGCTTGGAGCCAAATGGCTCATGAATGACACTGAGGCCATTATGCCCAGTGTCGCACTGCCCCATTGAGGACAGCAGACAGCATAGTACCACAAAGAGTTGATAGGCCTGGCCTGATGGCAAGCTCCGAGTCAAGGTCCACCGCGGGCTACAAAGCTCAAAGGCATCAATTCGCAAACCCATGTCCCGCGTTGGGTCCATTCCATGTCCGCGGAGCTCTTCGACCTTCACTCGTCCATCCGAGCCTGGCAGGAAGCAGCGATTGGGAAGGACTGTCATCATATCCAGGTCTTCGACCTTCACTCGTCCGCCCCCGGGACGACGGAGATGATCGGCGGGGGAGGGACACGAGCCAGGTGTGAGCTGTGGTCTCATCGACTCAGCCTCGGCGACTTCGGTCATCGACCAGCTGTGGTCTCCGAGAAGTGTCTGTGGCGCTCCGCTATGTGCTCTGCGACTGCCAGGTATATAGCTGTGAATCAGAGGATGAGATCACTCGACAAGCGTTGGACATGTCCAGCAAGATGCTCAGCAGTCCAGTGAACAAGATATCCTGCAGATGTCTTTTCCAAGCGAGTCCAGTAGTTGGCTTCTGGGCTTGTGGAAGGTTCCTGTTCGATGATCTTCAAGATACACGGAGTATCACGGAGTTCAGGAGATTGTTGTAGCGTTGTATAATGACCATGAGATGGGGTGATGTTGGAACTTGGGACTCGTCAAGGAACATCTCAGGAACATCATTTGGAACTTGGGACTCGTCTTCTGCGTCTGCTTCCCTGATTTGGGGGGCTTGATAAGGTATGTGGTTCGCCTTTGAGACCGGATGATGTGGTGCTACACCCTTTTGCTCAGGCACTTTGGCTTTCACACAAGTCAAGAGACTGAAAAGAAGACAGCCATGAACACCTAAATTAATCACGGCATGCAATGACCGATAGCTTCGAAATCCATCCGAATTAGATGGCCTTCATTTGGGCCTTTTCGGCTCACCACAGGATGGTGCCTGTCGCCTGTCGCCTGTCGCCGTGACTGCCTCCCCAATCCTCAGCTCTCCAGGGTATCCTTGACACGTTGCGTGGAGATGAAGACACTGTGGAAGCGATCGTCTTCAACGAGGACGAGCCGAGCCATTCGCCACGGAACACTGAGCCGAGCCTTTTCGACCGACGCGGAACACCTCGCATCTTGCGATGTCCAGGACTGCTCGTGGTCGACGATCTCAGCGGTCAAGGCCGGGCCCGTCGCCACCGCGGTGAGACGTCCACCGGTCAGTCACGGTGTGAACCTCCCGTCTTTCCAGGATGAGAAGGGCCGAGGTGCTGAGGGTGAGACCGAGGAGGTGCGGTGGAGCGGGATGAAAGTGGATTCTTTCAGAATCATTCTGATTCATCTATTGATGTTCTTGTTTGTGATTGAGCGCTTTTTGCAAGCCCCTAGGCCCTTGCCGTTCTTCGAAAAGAGCATGAAGAACATGGTATTGTACGAACAGTTCAGAGACCTTTGAGGGGACACCAGCCGTACGACGTGCACGGCCGGTGCCAGGGTGGCGCCCGGGCCGAGATGATCGACCTGTCGGCCGCCGAAAGGGGTGACAAGGGGCATAGGACAATGCCTGAATATGGTACTAGTAGCGTCCTTGCTCCTAGTAGCGATTCCAGGAGCTACCAGTAGCTTCTTGCTACTAGTAGCTTCTTGCTCCTCGACAGACCTGGGAAGTGCGGATTCCTTTGACCCAGGTCGGATTCAGAGTGATGGAATGCTCTGGAGCAATGCCTGAGACCTTTGCAAGGCCAAAGCAACAAGCGTCAGGTTTTGCTGGAAGGTGAGATCGCACCAATCGATAAGAGATGATGCCCCAAATTGGATCCGGTAGCCAACTAAGCTGCTTCAAGTTGCTGTGAGATCCCCAGCCACTAACCCTTTTGTTTTGATGGATTCCCGCTCTGGCCCAGAGATGTTTTTGGCCAACATGACTCAGATTGGACGACACATACTTCACCCTACAGCACTGGGGAAAAAAGAACGTCACTTGTTTTCTTCGAGCCTTCATTCCTTCGGGCATCACACCGATGGTGTTCTTTCGCCTCACCGATGATGGCGAGAACCGCACGAAGCCGAAGCCCGTCCGAGTCCGAAGACGTCGTCCGAAGACGTCCTTTCGTGAGCCCATGCCCAGCTGCCCATGCTTTGGTTGGGAGACGTCCTTTGGTGGTTCTTTTGACCTTAGGAACCTGGGAGCCCTCTTGTGAGATGGTGTTTTGACTGAGATGGAGAAAACAGACTCCGGGCGGAACAGCGAGAGGTGGCGGCTAGCAACCAGTCACCCGGGTCATTTGTCCTAGAAAGAGTTGCAACACGGCAGTGAGAATGGGTTCATGATGTATATGAACTTGAGATGAATGCGGGTCTGATCTTTGGTACCAGTTTGCCAAGCCGCTTTCGGATCTTCATTTTCACCTTGGGATTTCAGGAGCAGTGGTGACTATAACAGTAGTAGTGACTGGCGTATTCAGCCTCATCCGGAGTGTGTCAACTGAAGGAGTCTTTGAACGATGCAGACTCATATGCTTTCATGCGAACGAGTGGACCGGAAGACGATCGGGTGGACGTGGCGGAAGATGGTCATATGGCCATGCAGCGCGGTTCCGCATGGAGACAACGCAAGGAGCAAAAGTGATGTGCTTTGACGAGGATTCCGGCGATCAGGAAAGTACAGGGTAGGAAGGTGTGTCTCCATTTGTGGTATCTGGTGATCGAACAGCTCCAGAACTCCTGCTGCGCAACTAACTTATGACTACTGAATATACTAACAGGCAAGGACTAGTTCAAGGCACGAGGCACTTCTAAGATTTATAGAAATGTCAAGCCCACAGGCACTTGACAACTTGAGAGATCGCGACAAATTGCTGGGTGCCTTTTTTGTTTTGTGAGCCGTTCGACCAGATCCATGATGAGCCTGATCAGTTCTGCATGGATCCACCGCCGTTTGCGGCCCCAGTGCCAATGCTGAAGTTCTCACAGGTTTGAATACTCATGGTTTTGAATATGGACTGATCAACAAAATCATTATTCCTTATGTCCACATCAAGATCAAACTTTGGGGGATGCGAACCAAGAGGACTTCTGGCCAGCCATGGAACTCGACGATTTGAACGCGGCGATTTCTGGATTTCAGGATGGTTCTGTTCTAAGCGCACAGGAGAAAGCACAGTTTGTGCTGGCCGGTTTTGTGAAGGCCAGACGCTGTCCAAAGCATCAGATATGACCTGTATAACCTGTCATGTGGCAAAAGTCTTATTGCTGCACTTGATGGCTCATCCTGTTTTGTAGGCTCTTCCCCAACAGCCAAGCTGAGGGGTCTTCAGCAGCAAAGACTTCCTAAGAAAACACCCGCAGCAGGTTTGGAGCAGGTTCTGAAGGTTTCTGGAGCAAGGTCCGGGAGCAGGTTCCGGAGTTCGGAGCAGGTTCCGGGGCAGGTTCCATCAGTTCCCGGAGCCGCCTCCGTCCACAGACACAAAGGTCTGGCATGCGGGTAGGTGACATTGGCGCAAGGCTGACATGTCATCATGCTGGCGTTGGTGTGCGCTGTCATGTCGTGCTGATGTCATGCTGATGTGCGGTTCTTAGCTGATGTGCTACCGTTTTGCCATGCTGACGTGCTGTGATACGCTGACGTGGTGTCTTGATGGCGTGTTGTGCATAATGTCACCATGCGGACGTGCAAGCCGCAAACATGTTGTCAGGCAGATATGCTGGCATGGTGTCACACCGACATGTTGTCATGATGTCCTGCTGATTTGCTGTCAGGCCGTCATGCTGTCATGCTGGCATGCTGACATGAGTCACGTTGTCACGCTAGATGTTCACAGTCGGGTCATGCTGTCGCGCTGACATGCTGGCAGGCCCCAGGGCTTTGTCATGCTTGCACATGTGTGGACACATGTCCAGCATTGCCGTGTTTTGTTCCTTGAACTTGCCAGTGCCTGATGGGCAGATTCATGCTCAGGTGGTTTATTCTGTTTCCTTCTTTTCCCTCACTGCATCAACCCTGATGCTGTGAGATCTAGGTGTCCCGAGCCGCGGCCGCCCCGAGCCGCTGCCGCCAGGTGCGCCGGGCGCTGTCCGCCGCGGCGGTCTCGGCCGCCGGGCGAGCGGTTTGGGCCGCGGCGGAGCGCCAGGAAGAGGGCACAGCGGCCGAGGGCGACGACGTGGGGTGGAGTGGGCGGCCGAGTGCCTGGGAACGAGGTGTGGAACAGCCGGGAACGAGGGTGGTGAATGTGTGGTGATCGTGTTGGATGGTTTCGAGTATGATTGGTGGTCAGTGGTGGGGTTTCCTGCTCCGAGGCTTGGTTGCGAAGAGGATTGGGAGTCGGATGAAGGTCGCGAAGGATGTTGGATGCGAGAAGTTGGTTTGCATAGGTTTGAACAGTTCAGTTGCATTGTTTTTGGGTGCGGGGATAGCTTGGCATAGCCTAGCAGAGCAGCGAGCGAGTACCAGCGAAAGCAACGATGGCCATCGTCGACAGCGCGCAGCCCTTGAGTCTCAGGCTCTGCATTAAATTGCCAGGTGATGTGATGATGAAGCAGCAGATTCCCAGTGATTTGCTGCAGAACGCATCTTCCTTGCAGCTCGGAGGTGAAGATAAGGATGTGGAAGCCTGATCGATCTGTTAATGGGAAGGACCCACACTGAACCATCTTCACCAACACTCTGTTGCTGGACCTTTGGAGCCCGTAGACCTGGCCTTTGACCGATCACCTCTCGCCGTTCGGGCGAGAACGCGCCCGACCAAGCCGACCGAGGCATGGGGCGTTGGATGATTTGCTGGGTCGGCGCTGGAGCATGGAAGGCTTAGAGGACCTGGGCTGGGTGACTTGGACACGGCTTTCAACGGCGGAGACGCCGTGTGGCGAGCGGCGTCAAGAGCGCGCGTCAAGAGCGCGTTTGGGTGACTCAAGTCTCCAAAGTGAAACACAATTGAGATCATTGAGCAGTAGCTTTCGGAGAGAAGCCATCGAGCATGTTTGTTTTGTCAAGCCCATGGCGCAAGGTTGCGGCGTCATTACCGCCCACTTCAGGGAGGTTTTTTCCTCCAATTCATGGTCTATATCGTATCGATAGTCCAGGAGACCCACGGCGGGCTAAGTACGTTGTTGCAGTGAGGAGTACTTTTCTCGACACGCATTCTACATTTTTGACAAGAAGTGTGATCTGTCCGACAACCATTTGAGTCTGCTGGCGACAAGCGCGCATTCCTTTTCTCGGCAAGGCGTTGCTGGCACTTGAGCACGGCAGGGTAACACTTACTTGACGACAAAAAAAAGCAAACTCCTATTTTTCTTTGGACCATAGGCTTCAAACGACTTGTTTGGAACATTTGCAGCTTTATGGCCTAAGTATGATGATGTGTTCAGTTGCCAGCATGGTCGGGTCACGTTTCCACCTGCTGAAACTCACCTGCTGAGGCGCCCATGCGCTTTCCGGCAGCGCGCCTGCGCTGCCAGCGCCCGAGTGCCAATGGGGCCTCTGGCTCTGGCTGGGGAGCAGTTCCTCAGTTTGGAGGAATTCGCCCATGGGCCTTGAAGGAGAAAACACCTCTAAAGCTCTGCCAAAGAGGATGGATTGCGAGGTGTGAATGGATTGCAGTCGAAATGTGGAAACCGAGGATTGAACTCAGACGGACGATATCAAGTGTTGGCATGGTCACTCCAAGGTTTTCTCAGTTTTCTCCATCCGCCAATGTGCCTACATGGATGATTTTAGTATCCAATGCCACACAACTACAGTGGAGCTGAGCAAGAGTTTCGTGGAATCCAGATCAGGATTGCATGTCCGTCTTCTCCATCAACATGAAAGGGTGTGAATGGGCAACGTCATGCAGGTGATTTCCCACCATCTCCAATCATCAGTTGGACCAGACCATGCTGTTCCACATGGACCGCTGTTCCACCTTCGAAACACCCATCGAACACGCCGAACCAATGAGGTTACTTTTTCTGTGTTTTTCCAATGGGGGCGGTGTTCCCGAGGTGGAAGCGACTCGTGTGGAGGCGCCATGCCAATATCACTTGGATGGCTCCTGGTATCAGCATCATCTCTTTTGTCCACAACAAGCCATCATCGTCTGTGTGGTGCTCACGGACCCTTGACGGCCGGCTCCGGCTCCGGGCCATCGGTCCAAGAAAAGAATCGGCACTGTAGTGCAAGGGAAAAACGGGTCTTCTTGTAAGTCCAACTTCCTTGTTGAACTGTTTAATTTGTGAAAGACGTGTCTTCATGGTCTTCGTTGTTCGTGCGTTGGAGCATTTGGTGCCCACGAATTGGATGATCTTCCAGACGACACTCTTAAGACTTTACACTTGGGATGATGTCCGACGCTGAAGAGCGAGGACACCGCCTTGGGAGGTGCGGGCACCGCCGTGAAGTTGGCCTCGCATTTCTACATGGCTCAGTTGTTGGCAAGTGCGGGAGCTGCTGGGATGGACCACGCCAGCCTTTGCAGCGAAGCACAGGTGAGACAGAGAACTTGGGGTAGGTGGAAGTGATCGGAGGACAGGATAGATGTAGCTCAAAGAAGGGATAGTTTCCGAAAGGGATCAAAAGCACATGAATTCTGTGTTTTTTTTCAATGTTCATTGTGCGAACGAGTACAATATCCTCCTGTCTTTAAGATTCGACGGATCTTCGCTTGAGAGAAAGCATCAGATGAAGTGTTCTTCATCTGATGTCGATGTCCTGCTTGCAGGCAATAGACGTCCAGCAGCACCCAGAGTATGAGATCTATTGTGGCTGGGTCCGATTTGGACTCGCTCGGACCGAATGGCGATGAAACCGATTGTGGCGATGGTTTCGTTCGGACCCGGACGTCGGATTCGATAGGGGTTTTAGTACGTCGGTTTCGTCGAATCTGTAAGAACTTCCACTTTGATTTGGAGGGACCCTGTTGGATGGTGGTGTTGTTTGAATGCAGTTCTTCTAGGTTTTGCTCGCTCCTGGCAGAGCTCTCAAGTCTAGTCAAAGCCAATGGATGCTTGTATATAACATCCAGAAGGGAGAAAGGTTGCTCCCTCCTTTGATTGGGGTTGTTGATTGCCCCATACTTCCATGTCTTTGTCCATTAAAGTTCGCAAGGCAATGCTGGGGATGTGCTGCTCCTACATCCACATTTGGCGCACAGCAGCACCACCAATGTTCGCTTTGGAAGCGATGTTCGCTTAGCTTTAACCAAGCGAGCCTATTGGGTCACAGGCCAGGTCTTTTTGTGTGTTGAAGATCGAGCAGATGCTGGTCCAAAACAGCAGATGCTACTGTTACACAAATGGAGCGCTGTCTTGTCGAGAAAAGTCTAGGCAGTTTCTAGTTTGGGTGGTTTTGAGGACAACAGTGTCTTTTCATTTTGGTGTTCGACCTACATAAAGAAGGGGATATATATACAGGGATGGTAGTATCAAAGCAGAGGAGAAAGTGAGTCATTTGTCTTCCTTGTGCAGTGATTTCAGGGGGTGCATGTCAACTGGTCCAACTGGTCCAGCAACTTCCAAAGACCTTTCATACAAAAAAACTATAGAACAAAAAACGAACAGCAGTTGTTCCAATCAACCAACCTGTTGCAATAAACCACCTTGTTCCTTTGTTCCAATCAACAGCAGAATTACTTCTACGTCACTGGGCCGACCGCTCTAGCAGCTCGGGGAACCGCTGGTGCAGGACCCAGCAGCTCCCTCGGCGGTTTCAGCGGCGTCGCACCGGTGGAGCTGCCGCTGTCGTGGGCGGTCGCGTCGACGAGGCGCGTCGACTTGGAAGGGCGTGCGTTGGACAGTCGCGTGTCAAATGATGGTTAAAATGTGGTTCAAATATGTTCAAATGATGTCCAAGTGCTTTCAGTGGTTAGAATGCCAAGAGCCTCAGGGAATGCCAGTAGATTCCAGTATATAGATCCCTTAAATAGTGGACAGCTCCCGCAAACGTCCCAGGCACAAAGATTTGCAAGGACTTCTTTCGAAACAGTGGGGTGTCCGTGCTGTTCGGCCCACAAGACTCTGCTTCTTACGTAAATTACTTGGACTGCAAGTGGGAAAGACCGTTTGGGGTCGCATCCCATCTTCACACAACAGCAAAGAATTGCGACCTATTGGCTGTTGCAGTGTAACTGCCCATTGGAAGACCCATTGGCTTTGGCCTTTCCCAATGGAGGCTCAGTGTCTGTTGTGAAAACATATGAAAACCCACCTTTGAGCTAGTAGTAGCTAGAAGCTACTAAGTAGCTAGAAGCTACTAGGGGCTCCTGGCATCGCTACTAGGAGCAAGGACGCTACGTTCGGGGCTCCTGGCCGTCCTACTAGGAGCAAGTAGCTACTAGTTACATGCGGAGCCTCCGCATTGGAGCCTCGCCCTCCTCCCCGCTCCGGCATCACAGGACGGAGCTGCCATGCCTGGTGCGCCGTGCGCAGGAGCTGCTGGCAGAGCGCGCGGATGCGTCGGTGCTGCCGTGGCTCGAGCTCCAGGAGCTGACCTTCGAGGCGAGGCTTGGCGCTCTCTCTCTCTCTCTCTCTTGCGGAGACCGGTTTTTGTTGAAGATCCTGGAGAACAAGGAAGATAGATACATGACTGGTAATTATATAGGATAGATTTGATACGTTCATAGATGCTTCATTGGGGCCTTCTCAAAAGTTCATCTCCTTTGTCTCAGACAAGGGACTTTGCGATTTGTCCTAGCTAGGTACATTCATGCTACTTTCTGAACTTACAATAGATGATTGTGCTTCCGTTGGGATTGATGTGTCTTGTCTCAAAAGCAGGGAAGCGTGGTGGAGTCCTGGAGAACCATTTTACATTTCTATAGAATATAGCAAATACCGAATACTCCATAAACGCTCGCTTCCCATCCTTGGAACACCTGTGCCCCGGAGATGAAAGAACGCCTGGAGGTACTCCAAGATTTTTCACATTGGCTTAAATTGGAGAAGCAACAAATTCCCCAGGATTTCTGTCGGAGATGTTCAGGATGACGCTTTTTCATTTCTTTGCTCTCCCCGCGTCCAACGTTGGCCTCATATCAACAACTCCAACCAGGCCTCCATTGGAACCTAGCATTGGACCGTGCGCCTCGGATGTTCTCCACGACGTCTCAACGTGAGGCTCGAGTTGCGACGGCGCAAGAGGTGGATGCTCGACTTGAGGCTGAGCAGCCAGCTGCGGCGCATGTCTATTCTGTTGTTGTGGAGAGTCGAAACAAGGAAGGAGCCAGGGTCAGAAGATACGTAATTACTTCCCCTAAAAATGCGTGGCATGTATAGGTAAATATGAATCAAAGATACATTTTCTCTGACTGAATCTTGTGGTCCTGTTCATCTCTGATCCACAGAAAGCCGCAAATCCCTCCAGGTGAGCATCTCTGAGTCAGATCTGGACCTGGGAGGCCTGCTATTGATGCCTCAGACTCTGGCGCAGCTGTGGAAGGCACCTGAAGGAACTGGGGTTCGGTGATGAGGAGTTCAATGAACTCACAAGCTGACTTTGGTTTGGTTGGTTTGGGTTAGAGTACAGTTCAGGAACTTCATGGAACTTCTTTGTAGACTGTATCTTTGTAACGCTTCGTGCAACGGGTAGGATGCCGGGTAGGGATCTTCTTTCCTATTCTTTCCACATCGCCTTTTCGACGTGTACAGCGGGGTCGGCGGCACACACCGGGGGTTGGCGGCAACGTGGCGGCCCCCCATACCTTCGGTTTTCCTTTGGTACGTTATGGCTGCGCTGCCCATTGTAGCGGGTGTGCCGTGTGGAACGGAGCACCTGAACGGAGCAGAAGCGTACGGTACGGTCCTATGAATTCCCGAGAGTTCCGGCTTCAGGTAGCCGCCATTAGATAGCTTTCTCCGCTACTTTTGCTCCATTGCAAGGAAAGGGCGCACCCGAAGACACCTGGCATTGGGAGAAGTGGATGAAAATAAATTTGGTTGCGGTTCCCATTTTGGATCCAGACTGTTTGAGGTCGCGGCTGGCAGAGCCACTCGGGGCGTTGGTGCCGGGGACCAAGTGAGTGTAGAACGGGACTTGAACTTCAGCAGCTGGATAGTCCCATGAGCTCACAGGATTGGGTTCTCATCTACAGGTTTTAGTTGACCGATTGTTAGGAGAAGTAGCTTTGGAATGCTTTGGATGACCTGAACTCGTTGACAAAGCCACACCTCCACATCACACGATGTTGGCAATTCTTCTGTTTAGGCTTTGAGTCTCGGCTTTGCACGATGTGGTTTGGGCCCAGCACCTTGGAGGGAAAGCGAGTTGCGCGGCTTTCCCCAAGGGTGCCACAGTCAAAGCTGGCATGTTTTTTTTTTTCATGATCCGCTCCACGCCTTTCTTTGACATACCCAGGCAAGGGAAGGCACAAAGAGCGGATCAGGGTGGAGTCAAACCACGAAGGATTTGGATGCCCAAGTCATGTCACGACTTCGGATCACAACGCCTGACCCATTAGGCAACTGATCCTCTGCAATGAAAAAGAATGCCCCTCAGTCAAGTTTTCTCGCCACGCACTCCATGACTGCCCAGCACCCAACTCTGACGGATTTGTCGGGTCTGAGGCTGGTAGCGTCGAGCTGGGGCGGTGCCTGGCAAAAACGCCATTGCCATTGAGAGCTCTCTTCTTGCAAGGCCTGACTTCATCGAGCATGTGGTGAAGGTATGGTGGTCACTGGCAAGACAGTCACAGTCCGGCCGTGCTCACGTGAAGTGACCGTCCGCGGCACCCAGAGGGGACAGTTCTGTGGCGATGTGGTCGTTTGTGTTGGAGGGTGGGAGATGCTGGTTGCACTGGCAACACGATCCAGAGAATCCTTTGATACGCAATGTTTTTCCTGAGTCCACCCCTCCAAGGCAATGCTATGGGTGATGGCGGTGTTGTGGGGGTTGCTGGCACTCGCAGCAGACAGTCTACGCCACTGGGCTGCACCTTCCAGTGACATTGTTTTAAGGATGTTCACTGCTTATCAGTGCCATGTTTCATTTAAAACGGTGGCCATCATGTGTTTGATGTTTTTTTGGAAGCACTTGCACATGGAGCAAAGCCTCCACTGTCAACAATTCAGAGATCTTTTGAGGGTTCTGCATCAGTTTCTAGCTCCTCCGTCAAATCATGGAAGCAGCCCGACATGCCCAAGCCAGGACAGACCGATCGGGCGACCGTTGGTGACCGATCGAGCGAGGTGCCTTGGAGACCTTGTCCTTGAGCTCCAACGAGCTCAGCGAGACCAGCGTGGAGGCGCTGGCCGACGCCTTGGGGGTCGGCTCCTTGTCGGGGCTCCCCAGACAGATGCGTTCGGCACTGCGGAAACGTGGCGCAGAGCGTTGAATTGAGGGGGTGCACAGATCCTTTTTCAAAGGAGCAATCAAAAGCTTTGAAAGGCCTTGATTATTGATGGTTGATGGTTGAGGTGTACATACACTGTGTTCCTCTAGCATCCTTTAAGATCGATGCATAATGATGATCAATGATTCAATGATCATCTACTGGTCCCATGATTGATGGAATATGTGGAAACAAACGACGTACAGTGTGCAACCCGTACTGTATCATATTCTGAATTTGCAGCTGTTCTTTTTTTTGCAGTGCTTCGCATCCTCCCGCAAGGGAGTGCAGAATTCCTTGCAGAATCCAACTGCAGGAAGTCGTAGCTTTTCCAGAAACCCACGCTGATTCTAGATCTGTTTTCTTGATGCATTTAAGGCTTAACACACCAATCATGATTGATGCGTTGCCATTGTGTTTTCATGTTGGACATCACTTCTTTTTTTTCCAGTGATACATTTATTTATAGGACCTTAGAAGTCTGGGGGAAAGGTGTCGTTTGACAACGGTTGCACAAACAGCCAAGTGCTTTTGCCATCAGTAATTTGGAAATAACATGAAATAAATGCACATGGGATTGCAGGTGGTGAACAATTTGAAGCTGTTTTTCTCATGGGGGAAAGGTAAACATGAGGGAAACCGTCAGTGGATTAGCTTTGGGGATCATCCGATAGAATTGGAACGATGCAGAGAAGATGAGCATAGCCTTTCTGGGACTTCTGGACTTAATTTTTGAAACCTACGTTTGCAGTGTAGGCTGTACAAAAGATGTGCCAAAGCGAGGACCTTAATTAGCTCGGTGCTGCAGGGCTGCTGGTGTAGGCTGATTCGCTGCTTCGCGATGTGACCGATCGCAGCGATCAAGTCCTGCATCCTTTGATGTTTGGTGAAACTGAACCATACTGACCCCGTTATGTTGAGTATACCCTGGGAACAGTGACCACACCAGCGTTTTGTTCTTTGCACGGCTTGTGTGGTTCATTAGCCGAGAGCTAACATGAATGATGTTTTCTGCTCAAGCAGAGGATTGTGCGAAGCTTTCACTCGCGGTCACTTCTGCATCATGTTGGGAGGGTTGTACCCGGCGGAGCAGGGAACCCTGAAGCGTTTGATGGAAAAGAAGATGACCGAAGGCCATGAGAGTTTCAACGACACGGAGAAGGAATCCTATGGACGCTTGATCGTAAAAGCCGAGCAGTGGGAGGTGAAAGAGCTTCAAGATGAACTGAAGCAGGAGTTAAATGCCAGCCAAAAGGACGAGGAGGTTCCTCCCGTTGAGCTTCAGGCTGAGAGTGCAAAGCAGAGTGTTTGTGGAGAGTGTTCAATCCTTTAAAGGTGACAGCCGGGTTAGTTTCGCCTCATTCGTTTCACGCGAACTTTGTAAATTAATTCGTCCAATTTCGCTGGTCATGGGAACCTCTGAGACTGCAGGCAAAATGAGAGACCTGGGACCGACCGTTCCGCCGTTCCGCCGTTCCGTGCTGGGACGCCCCGAAGTCAGGCACCGCCCAGCACCGGCCCAAGAACCGGTCGGCCGAATCGGTCTGGCCGAATCGAACGAAGCACACCACCGCAGTGGCTCTCGGACCACCCGGAAGTGACACGGACACCGCCGCGGACGACCCAGGTTCGACGGGTTCCGACCTATTTTGTTGAGGGAAGGACCGACTCGGGTCGGGTGGTCAGAGCAGCTGATCGTTCCACTGGCCTCCGAGACGATCTACTGCGTCATCCGAATGACGCTGGAGAACTGACCAACCCACCGTGTGTCCAGTCGAGCCGTGAGGGGCGAACTGCACATCACTCCACCACTCAGGCGCTGGCTGAAGCTCAACCAGAACCGTCACCTGGGCCAATCAGGCGCGCCCGAGTCACCAAGAGAGAGAGTCGAGTGGGTCAACAGCCGTCCCCATCGTTTTTTCTTTTTGCTTGAGAACTACCAAACGGTACACTGTCTTAGGGTCGACAGAGTCCACACCTTTCCGACATTCCCTCGAACAACAAGACCCAATCCCTCAACTTCCTCTTCTCGTTCTGTGTCGTAGTTGATGATTGGAGTGTTTCCGTGTGTTTCTGGACCTCCCGGTCGTTCGTCCCGCCCTCCACGGTCGTCCCTTCGGTCCCTTCGTCCCGATCCTCGCGGTCCCAGGCGCCACCGGGTTGGCGCGGCTGACGCGGCTGGAACGGCTGGAGCTCCGGTGCTGTCCATTGAAGGCCGGAATTGAAAGTAGTTGGTGTGAAAGATGTCTTAAAGGGAGTTTTTTTTTGTTTTGATAGCTGAAAAACAAGTTCTTTCAAAGTCTTATTGAAGATAGATGCCTCTGGTTTTGATGGTTTATGATGACATCATGACAACATATGACAACGATGTGTTCATCGGCCAAGATCCAAAATTCTCAGATGATGAAAACGAGTTTTGGACTTGCGCCGAAATCAGTAGCTGGGGCCGGTTATAATATACTGTAACTGCTTCCTGAAAGAATGCAGTGTGAGGAACTCGGGAAAGCCCTTTTTGTTGATCATCCATCATCCCATGTCAGCGTTCAACAGGATGCTGGCCTTGACGCACTTCTTGAGAAGTTGGAGAGCTCGCGATTGCAGGCTGGATCTCTTTGGGTGAAACAACTTGCCGGGTATGGAAACTCTTCTAGACTCCTACGGAACGAATGATCAATAGGCCGAAGACACCATCTATACAATACCTTTTGCCTCCTCCATCTGTCGACCCTGACCACCCACTCTGAAGAGCCTTCAGAGCCTTCGGCCTTCAAAGAGCCCCACCCCCATAACCGCACAGAGCGAGGCCTTGGACCTGGAGCGCACGCGCCTGACGGATGCGGCGGCTGTGGCCCTGGCGGAGTCCGCGCGCCGGGCGCGGAGCCACAGAGCGACCGTGGAGTGGGGGCGGGCCGTTAGGTGAAGAAGTGGACATGGAAGTAGGGAAGGTCTCACAAGATCATATAAAATCCCATAGAGTCCCAAGAACCATCGCAGTGGCATGCGGCATGCAGTATGGCATGCAGTGGCGACCCTGGGCGACCCGCGCATCTGCGCGGCAGGCGCTTCCGGACCTGGTGGCCCTGTCCTTGCGCGCCTGCCAGCTGACGGATCGTGGCGCCGCACCGCTGCTTGCGGCCCTGTGGAGTGGATTGAGGCGCTTTCAGAAGCCCTTCGGCCTCAAGTGGTGCGGTCCCAGTCGCCCCCATAGGCCCTGACAGGTCTGTAAGTGTTTCGAGTTTCGCCTAACATTTCGAGGTGCAGAAGGGCCAGCAGGGCACATGGCTCGAAAGAGTTTTGGACCGATAGGTGACACTGGTGAGGGGAGCCTTTTTGGATTTGTGATTTCAGCTGCTGCCTCCGCACGGCTTCTACATACCTCGAGGGGGCTTGTGGGGTCTGCACCCAGATGGGGCTTGTGCGTTTCCCTCAGTGGCAAAAACCTTCCAGAAGCCAGAAAAACCACGAAAACCCCTCCCGATGTTTCCATGGAATTTTCCCGATCTCAAGATGAAATTCAGAGCCTGCAGAGCTCAGTCAGTCGAACAAAGTCAGTCGCAACGTCTCGAAAGCCGCCACGTCTATGGGGTTTACAGACACCTCTAAAGGCTTGGCCAAAGGAATTTGAAGTTCTGAGGCTTGATCTTGGCCGGAACTTGGTGGGAGATCCCACGGTCGAGGCCTTTGCAGAGCTTGTGCCATCTTTCTATCTTCAAGGTGCGGAGGGATCGTTTCATCTCGCAGATTGCAAATCGCTTGGGTTTTTGTCCAATTGTGACATCAGTGACATCAGCTGAAGAAGAAGCATCAAACTTGACTTCCAGCATTTTTGCAGCTCGTGGCTTCACCTAATCTCTCCTCCACATTCTTTGGACTCCACCTTCCCCAGGAGTCACTGGTCCCGCGCGTGCGGTGGAGTTGCTTCTGGGCACGAACCAGGTCACCGACCGAGGAGTGCAACGCTTGGTCCAGGCCTTCGACTCCAACGCGAACGACGCGAACGGTGTGAAGGTGCTCAACTTCACCAGCGGCTTGGCGCAGCGCCGGAGCCGCGCGCTGCGCAAACCACTGGGAAAGTGGTTAGACCGAGAAGAGGAGGTGCAAGTGGATGTAGTTGTGGAATTTAGCGTCAAAATTCAGAATCCAGATTCAACATGATAGAAACAGAGTGTTTCTGGCAGATCTCGAATATTCTGGGTTGATTGTGTTTCAACGCCCGCCGGAATGGAGTCAAATCCCTGGATTGCCTGCATTGCGCATGGTACAAGGGGGATTTGTGAGAAGCCTCAAACTCCCACAGTCCCACCCAAGAAAAATTAACACCTCCACCTCAGGATCCATTGCCCAGAATTGGATGAGGATATGACCAGAGCCACTCCTGCTAAGGCAATCGTTTGACCTCTCAGTCGCTACTCTGTGTCACAGAGTTCTTGGAGAAGTGTTCTTTCAGAAAGGTGCTGCCAGTCGAAGAGTTGGATCTCACTTACAACGATACTTCAGAAGCTTGGCTAGGGATAATTTGAAACCTAGAAATGGGAAGAGAAGAGGGATGATGGTGCGACGGCGTCCTCGATTTTTTGGGTCAGTTCATGTGAAAAGGAGCATCAGTTCATCCTAAACACCGATGGTTCTCGGATGGTGGAACCAGATTCTTTGCCACCAGGGCAGAAAGAATCCATAGGGCATAGGGCATAGGACAAGTTCCCGTTCACTGGGGACAAGGTCTTGTTCACATACATGGTGATATATATATATATATATTAATATCTGGGTGAATGATCTGATGATTCATCCACTTCGATTCAGGTCGACTCGGTGGCCGCCTTCCGTGCCGCGGTGCTCCGACTGGGCCAGTCCTTGGGCCGCTCCCTCGCGTGGAGTGCTGGATGTGGATGAGACGGAGTCTCGACGACGCAGACGAGAAATGCTCGCGTTTGGACCACGACGTGAAGCTTTTTCAAGGGGGAGGGAGAAGCAATGGATGAAGCATGGGAGGAATTGGATGGAATGGGATGAAGTTCTTGAAGAGTTCCTTCAACTCGATCAGATGCCTAAAGTTCTGGGGGGGCTTCACGCTGGAACGGTGGATGTTCACGCAGTGGAACGCAGGGACGCCGGGAACGGTGCGGCTGCTTCAGATGGACGGTGGATGGCTGTGGTGCCTCACGTCTCATGGTGCTTGGGCTGATTCAAGTTCAATTCATCGGATGTTGATGTGCGGTGGCATGGCTTCGCAGCGGTCCTTCGTCGGTGACTCGGACACCAACGAGGTAGTGGGTCTTAGTGGGTCTTGGAGTCTTGTTGACACTTTGTGAGTTTTGTGGAAGTGTACTTCCTGCCTCTCAGGTAGATTTGAATTCTACAATCTTCTAGTCCTACACGCTTGCAGCAGAAGTTGGTCGAGGAGTCTGAGCAGATTGCATGTTTGTGTCTGTACTGGTTCTCTTTCATCCTTTGTTTATACCGGAGGTAACAGCCTGATTGTAGCAGCCTGATGTAGAGGATAGGTCGGTTCGTTCAACTGACATTGTATGACATTGTGGTGCTGAGTGTTCAACACAGATTTGGAAGTAGAGGTCCTGCAGGGGTCTTGGGGGATGTTGCTTCAAGGAGATTCCGCTCATCATCTTCGCAGGTGTTCAGTGACGACCCAAAGAGGTCATGGCAGGACAAGACCGGAGGAAAGAGTTTGTACCATACTGCTGCCTGTGTTGTATTGCTTAAGCCTTTGATCTTGTCTTTGCACAAGCTTGCATTGTCATGCATTCTCCATGCTCATCGCCGGTTCCGGCAGCCAATCTGAGCCTCTGCATGACTGTCCAGCGCAACGAAGAACATATGCTTTTGGTAAGATGCCTTGGACCTCCTTCCAACAAAGCGGTATGCCTGTTTTGCGGCCGAAGTCACACCCGAAGATCACCCACGTCATGGAAGGCTGCCTTGGTAGCCTTCCACCAGCAGCGGAAGCGTAATGGCGTAATGCCCTGCCTCAGTAGTTGTTTGTCGATTTCCACCACACAATCGAAGTTATGGGGCTAGCGGTCTCGATGGATGTCGCCTCGGCATGGCTCGCTTCCCAGAGCTGACAAGCAGTGTCAGAACCGAAATGCAAAGCCGTGCTCGGTGGAACGCGCTTCGGTGTTTGCATTGGACTTGTTAAATCATGTTAAACCTATGTTTGCAGTAAGAACACGTCAGATAATTTAAGGTACACACATTCTCAATATGGTTCAAGTAAAGCATTTTTTGGTTGCTTGATTCCTTTTGCCTTCTGTCCTATTCCTTGGTCCTTTGCAACTAGTTGGACCAAATGAAAGCAAACGAGACTTTGCCATATTAAGAGATGAAGTCATGAAGTCTGCATAATTGAGAGTTTCTATTCCAGCTGCACCACTGCACCGACGTGATGCCAAATCCAGGCTAGGGAGTACTTCATGAAGATACAAGTTCAAATGACTTGGGGGGGGTAGGAGCAGGAAGCTACTAGGGGCTCCT